CTTATATGGACTCTGGCCACTAGGCTGTGCTACCCTGAGACAAGGGTTGATCCTATGGACTCTGGCCACTAGGCCGTGCTGCCCTGTAAGGAGGGGCGTAAACCCTCACACTCCCCTTGGGATAACAAGCCTGGTACATATCAATTTCTTTGTTAAATTGACGAACTCATAAGCTTGCAGTGTCATAGAATCATAGACTATCAGGGTTGGAAGGGACCTCAGGAGGTCATCTACTCCAACCCCCTGCTCCAAGCAGGACCAATTCCCAACTAAATCATCCCAGCCAGGGCTTTGTCAAGCCTGACCTTAAAAACCTCTAAGGAAGGAGATTCCACCACCTCCTTAGGTAACCCATTCCAGTGCTTCACCACCCTCCTACTGAAAGTTTTTCCTAATATCCAACCTAAACCTCCCCCACTGCAACTTGAGACCATTACTCCTTGTTGTGTCATCTGGTACCACTGAGAACAGTCTAGATCCACCCTCTTTAGAACCCCCTTTCAGGTAGTTGAAAGCAGCTATCAAATCCCCCCTCACTCTTCTCTTCTGCAGACTAAACAATCCCAGTTCCCTCAGCCTCTCCTCATAAGTGATGTGCTCCAGCCCCCTAATCATTTTTGTTGCCCTCCGCAGGACTCTTTCCAATTTTTCCACATCCTTCTTGCAGTGTGGGGCCCAAAACTGGACACAGTACTCCAGATGAGGCCTCACCAATGTTGAATAGAGGGGAATGATCACATCCCTCGATCTGCTGGCAATGCCCCTATTTATACAGCCCAAAATGCCGTTAAGCCTTCTTGGCAACAAGGGCACACTGTTGACTCATATCCAGCTTCTCGTCCACTGTAACCCCTAGGTCCTTTTCTGCAGAACTGCTTCCTAGCCATTCAGTCCCTAGTCTGTAACAGTGCATGGGATTCTTCCGTCCTAAGTGCAGGACTCTGCACTTGTCCTTGTTGAACCTCATCAGATTTCTTTTGGCCCAATCCTCTAATTTGTCTAGGTCCCTCTGTATCCTATCCCTACCCTCCAGCATATCTACCACTCCTCCCAGTTTAGCGTCATCTGCAAACTTACTGAGAGTGCAGTCCACGTCATCCTCCAGATCATTAATGAAGATATTGAACAAAACCGGCCCCAGGACCGACCCTTGGGGCACTCCGCTTGAAACCGGCTGCCAACTAGACATGGAGCCATTGATCACTACCCGTTGAGCCCGACTATCTAGCCAGCTTTCTATCCACCTTATAGTCCATTCATCCAGCCCATACTTTTTTAACTTGCTGGCAAGAATATTGTGGGAGACCGTATCAAAAGCTTTGCTAAAGTCAAGGAATAACACATCCACTGCTTTCCCCTCATCCACAGAGCCAGTTATCTCATCATAGAAGGCAATTAGGTTAGTCAGGCATGACTTGCCCTTGGTGAATCCATGCTGACTGTTTCTAATCACTTTCCTCTCCTCTAAGTGCTTCAGAATTGATTCCTTGAGGACCTGCTCCATGATTTTTCCAGGGACTGACGTGAGGCTGACTGGCCTGTAGTCCCCCGGATCCTCCTTCTTCCCTTTTTTAAAGATGGGCACTACATTAGTCTTTTTCCAGTCATTCGGGACCTCCCCCGATCGCCATGAGTTTTCAAAGATAATGGCCAATGGCTCTGCAATCACATCCGCCAACTCCTTTAGCACCCTCGGATGCAGTGCATCCGGCCCCATGGACTTGTGCTTGTCCAGTTTTTTTAAATACTCCCGAACCACTTCTTTCTCCACAGAGGGCTGGTCACCTCCTCCCCATATTGTGCTGCCCAGTGCAGCAGTCTGGGGGGAGCTGACCTTGTTTGTGAAGACAGAGGCAAAAAAAACATTGAGTACATTAGCTTTTTCCACATCCTCGGTCACTAGGTTGCCTCCCTCATTCAGTAAGGGGCCCACACTTTCCTTGACTTTCTTCTCGTTGCTAACATACCTGAAGAAACCCTTCTTGTTACTCTTAACATCTCTTGCTAGCTGCAACTCCAAGTGTGATTTGGCCTTTCTGATTTCACTCCTGCATGCCTGAGCAATATTTTTATACTCCTTCTTGGTCATTTGTCCAATCTTCCACTTCTTGTAAGCTTCTTTTTTGTGTTTAAGATCAGCAAGGATTTCACTGTTAAGCCAAGATGGTTGCCTGCCATATTTACTATTCTTTCTACACATCGGGATGGTTTGTTCCTGCAACCTCAATAAGTCTTCTCAGGTCCCAGCAATGGGTGAGCAAATGGACCTGAGTGACTCTGCTTTATTACCACAACCATGAGACGTTTGAATGCAAGCCAACACTCCCAGCCCCGGAACTCCCCGGTGGGAGAGAGGCCCTTCCCCCAGAGCTCTGGGAGAGAGAGGCCCTTCGCCCGGAGCGCCTCCATGCAGGGGGAGAGAGGGCCCCTTCCCCTGGAGTCTGTGCTACCAGTGGGAGAGAGGGACCCTTCCCCCGGAGCTCCGTGCTGCCTGCAGGCAGGGGGAGAGAGGGGCCATTTCCCCTGGAGCTAGCTGCTGCCAGCTGGGAGAGGGCTGGGGGGAGTCCTCTGGCCCCAGCCCTGGGGCAGTCTGGCTGCACTCCAAACTCCTCATCCCTGGCCCCACCCCAGAGCCTGCACCCCCAGCCAGAACCCTCACCCCCCGCATCCCAAACCTCTGCACCAGCCCTGAGCCCCCTCCTGCATCCTGAACCCCTCATCCATGGCCCCACCCTGCAGCCCTCCTCCTGCACCCCACCTTCTGCCCTACCCTGGGCCACCTCCCACACTCCTTACCATAGGCTTACTAAGGTAGTGCCTAGTGTTAATTATGTAAAGTGGGTTAAGCTGGAATGTATTGCAATATTATAATTTTATTAAAACTCTAGTCAAAAGATATAATTATGTTGGGTCACGGGCATCAACAATTTTCTTTAACTGGGTGACAAGGAAAAAAGTTTGAAAACCACTGCACTAGTTGACTATCCAGAACATCATACAGACTTGTTGTAGAGGTGACTGTATGGACTGCCGCACTAACTATGAGCATCCAGCTGTGCAATACAGCCATAAGCACCCTCCAGAGATGCGGGGATGGTGGGGGAGGCATGATTTGACTCTGCACCATCAGGAAATACTCCTTTGATTTGTCAAACATCCACTATAGGTGGCACTGGTGTCAATGGCCAAATGACCATAAGGCAGCAGCCATCACCAAAGTGCTTCCACAAATAGGAAACAGCGGCAGATACACCATGTCCCAGTCCGCCCAGTAAAGTTGATGCCTATATATACGTGACATTACAGCCAGATGACCCAGTATAGTCACCTGCATTGTCCAGCTCTGCAGTGGAGGGAACATGGTGATGTTACATCTTATATGAGATGGTGTGAGGCTTTGGTTGGGCCAGGACACCTCTCTGAACTGGGAGGGAGAGGGGCTTGACAATTTCTGTGCAGGAAAATACTCTGAGTCCCCCAAAGGAGAAGAGGGGTGATCTAAAAGCCCTCAGCCAAAGGGCCAGAATCAGAACCTCCTGCTGGAAGTGCTGGTAGGTATATAGCCATTAGGAATCAAACGTCAGGGTGGTGTCCTGTGCTAGATGGTTGTGGTATTTTATAGTAACTCTGCACTATAGTCTAGTTACCAAAGGGGGGTAGCTGCATGAGGGAGACTGAAAAGAGAAATTACATATGGTCAACAGCAACGCATGACGGCCCTTTTCATAATGTGCTACAAGCAAATGAATCAAATGGGACCGCGAATCCAAAGGCTCTCCCTAGGGTGAATTGAAGTGATAGTTCAACAATGCCTTACAGATGCTCTGACTAGAAAAGAATATCTAGCACTGATCATCTGTAGATCTCCAAGTACTTACCAAAGGAGGGCAGTACCATTATCCCCATTTTACAGAGGAGGAAACAAAGGCAAAGGGAGATAAAGTGACCTGCCCACAGTCACTCAGGAGGATAGTGGCAGAGATGGGAACAGAGCCCAGCTCTCCGGAGTCCCGGTCTAGTGCTCTAGATGCTAGACCATGCTGCCCCCCATGGAGTGGACTGCTGTGAAGAAATAACCCTTCCACTGTCACAAGAATGAGACAACATTGACTCCCCATCTAACAACAATACGAACCAGCAGTAACCAGCCAACCAAAACATCCCCCAAGCAGAGTTTATACCCCAAAAAGTGAGGAGAGCCAGAGGCTCCATGGAGTCCACTGGGGATTTCACTATTGGTATCGCTTTTACATGGAAGATGCTGAGATACCACAGTGATGGGCGACAGAATAAAACCCCTGAGGTGGCGAGAAGAGAGTTTATCCAACATCAGCGCCACACCATGAGCCCAAGTCTCCACCGCCTTGCGCCTGCAGAAGTGAGGTTACATCTGCGTTCAGCAAGAGCAAAGATGGTGTAAATTGCTACCAGATTACAATTCTCTGCTCCTTCACCAGTGCTGGTATTTCACAGCCATAACTGATGCCACACCAAACAACACAGCAGACAACCAGGCTCTATCTGGAGTGTGAAGTTCAGATTTTATCACCAGGCTCATTATATTTGAGGCTTCTTTTAAAGCCCCAGCTCCTGGATGCCTGTGATCACACAAGAATCTCATCTTTTATTGGGAAAAGAAAGTAGCTTTCTGGCCCTCACAGGTGCTGAGAACCCTGAAAACATGACCCATGTGCATCTGAGAGGCACAAAAGCCAGAAGGCAAAGAAAAAGAACCCAAAATGTGTGATTTTTAAAAAAAACCTCCCATGATTTTCAGGCCAGACTCATGATTCTTGGGGGACTGACTCATGACATTGGGGCTAGCAATACTGGTGGCAGCAGGGGGAAGAGGCCCCCTCCCGAGCACCGGTAGGACCTCAAGTGGCTGTTTTGCCATTAGCAGCAGCCAGCCCAGTGGAAATGAATGCAGATCTGTGTGTAGCCCACCTTCTTCCCAGCCCCCAATGGCGTTTGTGCGCAGGGCCAGGGCTGCTACTCACTGGTGGTGTTTCCTGTCATCTGGATGATGCATTTGGAATCCCGGCCCATCTCACGGGAGTTGAACGGACGCACTCGCACCGCCACCTTCACAGATGCTCCCGCCATCTTGCTGGCCTTAAGGTCACTCTTTCCGGCAGGGGTTGCACTCCTGGCAACACAAGGAACGCCCTGGAAGGACCCAGAAAGGCATGTTAGGAAAAGTCTCTAAGCTCTGCAGTATGCTGCTGTAGGGCAGCTATTGAGGTGTCCCTGAGACTGAGGGCTCCCTTGCAGCAGCACCCGTTGCTGCCAGCTGGAGCACCAGCCTGTGAGCTCTCATCTGGCATGGGAGGCTCACCATTTCCACGCTCTCAGGGCTGAGACCCAGTGACAAGCATGAGGCTAAAGCTTTCCGAGCAGCCAGAGAGTACACCATAGCCTCGACTTTCCTGGGCCATGACCAGAACAGCCCGTTAGCACCAGGCTTGCCGGGCTCAGAACAAGGGGAGCCGTGAAAGCATCAGGCAGGCAGGGACCTGCAACCCTATCCTCCTGGCAGCAGCTCATTGCTGCATGCCCCTTCCTAGTCTGATTTAATAGTCATCATCAGAATAGCACCTAGAGGCCCCCACTGAGATCAGGGCCCCCCTGGGATGGGGCTGTGCACACACCCAGACCATGTCTCCACTAGGAAGGAAAGGTGTGTTAACTCGAGTTAATTGTCTTAGTGAAGACGAGGCCATCTACAGCTTTCCCATGAGCCAGAAATAACTGGGAGCCCAGCAATCACTGCCCATTCTCACCTCCCAGAGGGCCATGCTCTGTAGAGCACACATTGAGACAAGGACGAAGAGCGCTTTCCTGCAGACATGCTATACTTCCAGCCTCCTGGACCCCTTTCTATGCTGCTCCACAGACAGAGGGCCCATTCCCTCACCCCGCAGACTCTTTACCCTATGTTAACGCCACTGATTTCAATGGAGCAACTCCTGGCTTGCACTAGGGTAAGAGAGAGGAGAATCAAGCCCAGAAAGCATGCTACCCTGCAGAGCCTTCTCCAGCTCCTGATGCTCCTCCCACACCAGGTGAAATCTCATAGGCAACAGAGCAAAACTAGTGTGAGCTCAGAGTGACACCTCAGATGCTGCTTCTCCTTACATGGCCCCTCAGGACCTCAGCTCTGGCTAACCCCAGGCAGCAGAGACTTGACAGAACACAAAGGCACTCCACAAACAGAGCCCTGTCCTTCATACGGTGTGATGAGCACCTCCCCATCACACCTGGCACAGTAGGGGTGGGAGAAGGGTAGTTGGGGAAAGGAATGAATGCGTTTTGACTAGATGGGAGGGGGGAAAATTAAGCCCTTCTCAGCAAACACTATTATTTGACACTCATTCGGCTGTTGTGAAAAGGACTGGGTCATCCTAGTTTTCCAACAGGGGGCATGCTATATAAATGGGTGTAAATTCTGTAGGGAAACTGCGCCTATATTTTATGGCTTAGTGCATGGCTTATTCTCAGCACCTTTTCCCTCTCCAAATCCTCCGTGGGTTTTTGTTTTTCACAAGCCCAGTGAATGCAGAAGTGCCAAGGGCACGCTTGTCAAACGAGCTCCAGCGTGTCTTGAATGGAGATGCTGCTGGCATGCTGGTCTTTGCACTAAATTATGCATTCAGGCAGCATGGTGCTGCACATTGCTGGTGAAGAAGCAAGCACCCATTGTGAGTGCATGCCTACATCTCAGCTAGGCTCAGCAAAGTGCCGGATACACTGACATCTCGGTATTCAACATTTTGGCTCCTTTTCCATTTCAGCCCACAACTGGATTCTTACTGTCCAAACTGTTGTCAGTAGGCTGGGTCCAGCAAAGCCAAGGCTAAGAAAAATTGAGCTGTAGTCTGTTCTGCCTCCTGCATGATCAACAAAGTCACCAGCTGAGTTCTGCTTCCAGAATCTCTGCTCACTGATTTTTGGAAGCAGAAACGGTATGTTTGATTTTCAGAGGCCAGTTTCAGCTCTCAGCTAAACAAACCTTGCTTTGCTGAAACTCAGCACATTCAATTGTAGAAACTAGCAATACACATGGAACACAAACATGTCTTTTTTTTAGTCATTTTCCTGACCCTAATCAGATCATTTGGCCTAGTGGATAGGGCCTAGCCTGGCAGGCCTGAGAGACTAGCTGCTGACCGACTGTGAGAACATCTCTTCTCTTTACCACCTTTTGACTAGCTAGACCAGAGGTGGGCAAACTACGGCCTGCGGGCCACATCAGGCCCGCAGGACCATCCTGCCTGGCCCTTGAGCTCCCGGCCGGGGAGGCTAGCCCCCGGCCCCTCCCCTGCTGTCCCCCCTCCCCAGCAGCCTCAGCTCGCCAAGCCACCAGTGCTCTGGGCGGCGGGGCTGCGAGCTCCTGCTGCTCTGAGCAGGGAGCGGGGGGGTTGGATAAGGGGCAGGGGGTCCCGGGGGGCAGTCAGGGAGCAGGGTCAGGGCAGTCAGGGGACAGGGAGCAGGGGGGTTGGATGGGTCGGAGGTTCTGAGGGGGGCAGTCAGGGGGCAGGAAGTGGGAGGGGGCAGGGGCCAGGCTGTTTGGGCAGGCACAGCCTTCCCTACCCGGCCTTCCATACAGTTTCACAACTACGATGTGGCCCTCGGGCCAAAAAGCTTGCCCACCCCGATCTAGACACCAAGCTCTTTATGACATGGACTGTCTCTCACTATTAGAATTCTTTGAGGGGGTCAGCCAACCTGTGAGCACAGGGGATCCAGTGGACACAGTGTACCCAGGGCCGGCTCTGGCTTTTTCGCCGCCCCAGGCGAAAAAG